TAATAGGGAAAGGGGGTAGGGGTAGGGGGAAAGGGGGTAGAGGGGTAGGGGAAGAGGGAAGAGGAAAGGGAAAGGAAAAAAAAAACGATTGCTATTTATGGCAAATCGAAATTCACCTAAGACAACACGCGGTACTCACGAAGGGGGGGGGGGAGGAGGCGGGAACGCGTAGGAGGAAATTGGGAGTAAAGATGGGTGGGAGGAGGGGCAGGATGAGGAAGGAGGAAGAAGGAGGAGGAGGAGGAGGAGGAGGAGGAAGGAGGAGGAGGAGGAGGAGGAGGAGGAGGAGGAAGAAGAAGAAGGAGAAGAAGAAGAAGAAGAAGAAGAAGAAGAAGAGAAGAAGAAGAAGAGAAGAAGAAGAAGAAGAAGAGAAGAAAAGAAGAAGAACAGAAGAAGAGAAGAAGAAGAAGAAGAAGAAAAGAAAGAAGAAGATGAAGAACAAGAACAAGAAGAAAAAGGCGAGGGGGGTGGGTGGGGCGAGCTTAACCCAAGCACACCCCACCGCCAAAGAAAACTGTGAATGATAAACAAACACAAACGTGACTGCAAAAACAGAGTCCAGCACAAACACATCTTGAAGGAAACCAAGTGTTGGACCCTCGACAGGAAAATATTCTCTCTCTCTCTCTCTCTCTCTCTCTCTCTCTCTCTCTCTCTCTCTCTCTCTCTCTCTCTCTCTCTCTCTCTCTCTCTCTCTCTCTCTCTCTCTCTCATCCCTTCTGCTCTCTTTCTTCTCTTCTCTGCCCCTTCTCCTGACCCCTCTGCTGCCCCCCTTCCTCCCCCCTCTGCTAACCCCCTGCCTGCTGCCCCCCTCCCTGCTTCCCAGCTTCTCTCTCCCTCTCCTGAAGCTGCCTCTCGCCCCCCGCACCCCCCCCCCACCGCCTGCACGACAAGGAAGCCCTTTTAAATGGCAACGCAACACTCCTTATCAAAGGCTGGAGGACTCTCGTCTTTTCGCGAGCGCTAAATCAAGTCAAAGGCGCCACTGCTGATCCTCGGTGGAGAAGAGGCGGCTTTCGATGCCTCCTCCTCCTGCTCGTGCTTCTGCTGCTGCTACTTCTCTTTCTCCTTCTCTTTTCCTCTCCTTCTCCTTCTGCTACTTCTCCTCTCTTCTCTTCTCCTCTCTTTCTCCTTCTCTTTCTCTTCTCTTCTCTTCTCCTCCTTCTCATTCTCCTTGTCCTCTTCTCATTTTCTCCTCCTTCTCTTTCTCCTTCTCCTTCTCCTCCTCCTTCAGATTCTCCTACTCCTCCTCATTCTCTTTCTCCTTCTCCACCTCATCTCTTTTTCTCCTTCTCTTTCTCCTTCTCCTTGTCCTCTTCTCTCCTTTTCTCTTTCTCTTTCTCTTGCTCTTTCTCCATCTTCTGCTCCGCCTTCTCCTCTTCGTCTACTTCCTCTATCTCCTCCTCCTTCCCCTTTATCCTAATTTCTTGATCCTATCGTTTTTAATATCCCCATTATTATTACCTTTACCATTATCGCTGTCCTTATCGTAACTATTGTACAGTAATAATTTAACCTTTCAGTATATAATAATTTTACCTTCCAGTATAATGTTTATGACTTATAATGTGATTAAAATGACAACATCGCTGCTATTATCATCAAAATCATTATTTCTACCTCCATCTGTACCTACACCTCCACTTCCACCTCCACCTCTCCTCACTCCACTCCACCCCCACCTCCACTTCTACCTCCACCTGCACCCAAACCTCCACCTCTCCTTACTCCACTCCACCCCCACCTCCAATCCACCCCACCTCCACTTCCACCTCCACCTCTCCTCACTCCACCCCACCTCCTCCGCAGTGAACACGCCCCCCCCTCCCCCCTGAAGTAACAAATCGCCCGCCGAGACGAACTCACCGATGACGTCACTCACACCCCGAGGAACCGGCCGTCAGTCACCACATTACCTGAAAATAAACGACTCTGTTAATTACTTCGACAATACTCGGTTACAGTCGCGAGTAACGAGGGTTGGAATCTTAATCACCCGCGCTACTCTTGTTCTAAAATCGACCTTATTCGTTTAAAATGTAGGATATTAAACGTGTGTGATGCACGAGAAGTAAAAGAAAAGTGTTATGCAAAACAGGTTATTTCTTTCTGGGAAACAAAATAGAATGACCACAGGAACACGTAAAAGGCACTTCGTCTCCCGGACAACAAAGCACAAAGGAACCGAGCGACCTCACAAAGGAAGCCAAAGAACCGGACCGAAAAGCGTTTTCTTCTCGATACGATGAATCCCGGGCCGACGGCGACAAGCAGGTGGTAATGAGCGGGCGAGGGCGTGAGGCCGATTACCGCGGGGGCGAAGGGCCACCTCGCGCCCGCCACGCAGCGGGGCCGTCGGCTCCACCCACGTCATTACACCTACTTCATGGCCGCCCATGGTCAGAGGCGCTGCGAGGCCCCGCCCGCCAAGGGGGACGAGGCCGGAACCCGAGGGCGGTCGGGGGCGGCGAGGAGGCCGTGGCGATGAGAGGCCCCGGGAAGTCGCGCGTGGAGGAGGAGGACGCCGTCTGTCCTGCCCAGGGGACGCAGGACAAATAAAGAAGAGGTTCGGGATGGCGGGCCCAGCGCCGCACAGCGCAACCGACGCGAACTTCCCCTTCGACTATCTCCGTAAAGGACTAATCAAGGTTCCATCCCAGACAACAATGGTAGCTTCGGGGGCCGCCGCCTAGCCCCTCTGTTCCAGGGGCCCCTCCGGCCGAGCCCGGCGGGACCCCCCACTGATCATACAACCATAAAAATCCCAGAAATCTGCCCGTAAATAACACCAAAAAATTTCACCCCAAAATAATTCCCCGTTAGGCCGGCGGCCGTAAGTGATCCTGACAGCGGCGGATGCGAGCCAATGAACTCGCGGGCTCCGTGATTCCCCCCCCCCCCCCCACCTCCTCCCGAGCTCTTGGGGACCACAATGGGTCGTCCGCGTCGGAGGGCCCCGGGGAGCGGGCGAGAGGGAGGGGCGCCCCCCGGGGAGGGCTCCTTGAGACTCGAGGACCTCCTGACCAAGGCTTTGTCGCGCACACGGACCCCCCGATCCGCTCGTGGTCAGGCGTCCGCCCAAAAGTAACTCCGCTCTTTGGGAGGAGGATTGTCTGGCATTAGCTGCGGGCGGCCGCGAGTGACCTTCGGCGCCCGCCCGGACCCCCGCCGACACGCCCGTCCATTCATCTTCCCGGGACTAATCTACACACTTGTTTCTCGCACTTTCTTCGCGAAGGGACCCGCGCCTAATTTACGAGTCGGGGCTCAAAACGGCTACAAAATGAGACAGTTTTTAACACCTCGTCGGGCTCGCTTGTTCGGGGAAAGCTAGCTGCTCTCTCCTCACTCAGGATCCCCCGACCGGTGGGCGGCGCGGCGGCGAGCCTCCATAAACCTCCCCCAAAACGTGTTAAATTGTGTAATAAATCACCGCTGGAAGCCGCAGGTAGACCGGTGCTACGGCGTCCCTTCCCGACACCTGAAAGCTGCGGGGGGAAATAATAAAAATTTACTTCGCCCACTCGAAGGTGTCTCATGAGTGATAACACGCCCTCGCGCCGGGTTAACAAGCGTAGTTATAAGAGTCGGTGCCCCGCAGGGTTGATAAGGTGCTGCAGGCCCTTCACGCCCAAGGACTGCAGCGCCGCCCGTCGTCCGGGATAAGAGCTGTTCCCGCGAGTGAGCCGGACCCTTCTGGGCGTATTTACGTGCGCAGTTGAACGCACATCCCCACAGCATAGGACTTAAATCCTCCCTCTATTCCTCCAATGAAATAACGCCACAACCACAGTCGACGCGTCCTTCCCCCTTGCCACCACACGCCCTCCAGCCTCCTCCTGCGCACCCCCTCCCCGAACGCCTCCTCCTGACGCGGCAGACGGGAGGCAGCTCGGCGGAGGGCCTTACGCACGTGCGCGCACCCCCCCCCCCGGCCCGCCGAGGAACCCAAATCGGCTCTGGCGGTGAAGTCGAGATGAAATGCGCCCCATTCCGGCAGATTGCAAGGCGGTAAATCACTTCGCCGTGTTTAGCAGTCGGTAATTGGCGGTTGTTCGCGGCGTTCCGAGGCGGAGTGCGGAGACGATGCGCTTTGTTCGGGCTTGTAGTAGCCGCTTCCTCTCGCGCTGCTGGCTCGGGAAGCCCTCGCCCGGGAAGAAAAGTTCGTATCTCTCGAAGAAGATAAACCGAGGGAGATGGAAGAGGAGAAAAAGGGACTTTTTTCTTTTTCTTGCGACTCTCCATTCTTCCAGGAAAGAGCACGCGTGTAGCCATCGAGATCCACGAAAAGGAAGAAAGAAGGAAAGAAAAAAAGATTTCCGTTCCATACCAATCTCCATCACCATCACCCAAATCACCACCAACAATCATCTGAAACAACAACAACAACTACAACAACAAAACTATCAACAGAACACACAAAAACCTCCCCGACCCTCCCTTGCCCGCACATGTCCCCCCGGCCGCCCCTCCTCCGGCCGCCCTGCTCAATATGCCGCCCCGAATCCACCCCGAATCCACCGCCGATCACTTCCCACATACCTGGCTCGCCTCTCACCCTAAGAGTGACAATAACGCCCATAATTCACTCTCTTGTTCGCTGCTAGGGTTCACTTTTTTTTTTCTCTCTCTCCCTTACCTCCGCCCTCCTACCCTCCCGTCCCCTCGCCTCCTCCCCCAGTCCTCTCCTCCCTCGTTACTTCTTTCTTTCTTCTCCCTCACCCTTTATCACTGATCCCTTCCCCTCTTCTCCCTTGCCATAACTGTCGCTTCTTTCCCTCGCTATTTTCCTCCTCCTCCTCCTCCTCTCCATCCATCTCTTTTTTCCTTTCTTTGTCCTTCTCTCTCGTATGGATCTTCCCCTCTTCCCATCCCTCCTTTCACTCCTGGATCTCGTCTTTCTCCTCCTTCTCCTTCTCTCTCTCACTATTGTCATTCACCTTCCTTTTCTCTTTTTTTCTCTTTGTCTTCATCCTTTCCTCAATGTTCACCACCTCTTC